TGCGGATGATCATAATTATATGCAATATAACAACCTTAGGACTTATGCCCAAGCCTGCGAGGCTCAGACGAAAAAGGATGGGATCTATGCCTTGACACCCAAGGTGGGGACGTGGACACATGAGGGGTTGTCTCAAACAACCACAGGTCTTGGGTGAAACAAGAGTAGAGAGTTCTGTATGAACATATCCAAACGTGGTTGATCTTTCAGTGCTGGATTGGATTGAAGGAACCAGTTGTTGAAACGCGTCGTCGCCTCGAGTGTGCCAGAGCGAAACCAGTGAGGTGAAGGCTGGCCGCTGTCCCAAAAAAGGCCATGAGCTGGTGCCCCTGGGCTCTCATCAGCAGAAGAGGGAATGGTGCTGTGATGGAGTCAATGAGATTGGGGGGTGTTTGAGCGGCATCAAGTGGGGTGACTTCGATACCACCAAGGGCATGAACTGCTTTTGCTGCAAGCAGTGTGGGTTTGACTACTGCGAGAAGTGCTACATCCGTTGCGTCAAAGCAAAGGTTTGCAGCAAAGGGCATGTGATGGTTGCGTTGGGCGGTGCACAAGACCTTCCAAATTGGACCTGTGATGGATGTGGGCAAAAGCATGAAGGCAGTGTGGATCGACATTGTAGTGGCCTGAGCTTGGTCCAAGTGTGGAAGTCGCATGGTCGGTTCGAAGCACTGAAAAGTATCATTCTCTTGCATCCACTTTTTGTGTCCGAGGTAGATTCCACATCCACCGAAAGGTTTGAATTTCCCTTTTGCCAAGGTTGCAAGCAATGCAACTACAACCTGTGTGACCCTTGCAATGAGGCAGGGCCTTGCGTGGGTCGGTGGATATGGTGGGGAGGAAGTAGTGCGCGTAGTTCTGTAGTTTGCAGAGAGAGAGAGAGAGAACACCATCTGGATGGGTTTGTTCGTGAGGGAGAGGGCCATAGAGAGCCAGCCCTGATCAAAGTGCAAGCAGGTTCAAGGCAATATGAGCCTGCTATTGGAGATGTGGAACAATCTGCCAGATGATGGGATGCCAAAACTTGAAGGTCAGAAGAAGAGTCAGAATCAGTTCCAACTCTATTGGAACAGTGAGGGCAGCCAACCACTCTTGAAGGTGATGGCAGAGCTTTATTCACTTCACATTGAAACTGCGATTTGGCAAGACAAGGATTTGTTGATGCTCGGAAGTGTGGCCAACAAAGCCTTGAATGCTGGACTGCAGAAGCTTTGTGACCATCCCTTGGACAAAATCCGTGAGGTGGCCCAAGAGGTGATTCAAAAGAAGTTTGATGAAGCCAACCGGAAGGCCAAGGAGTTGGCGGCGCAAAGGAGTTCGTCCGATGCTGCAGATTTGCCACAAGCGTATGATAAGGAGCTGCAGGAGACGTTTGAACAACTCCAGGGTGTGCATGCTTGGGCTTTGCAAAAGGCATCTCTTGACACGATGGTGGCTGACATGGCGGTCCTGCAGCATCATGCTGATCAAGCAAAAAGAGAGAGGCTAGAGAGTGAGCAGAAGAATCAGGAAGCACAGAAGCAGTTACAAGAGGCACGAGCTGGAGAAGGACGACTAGAGCAAGCAAACACTGAACTGAAAAATGAAGTTCACCACCTGAAAATGACACTGGCGTCTGAAATCCAGAAATATCGAACCAGCATCGAAGAGCACAGAGATTTCATCAGCAGGCAGAATGGTTACATTCAGTCTCTCGAAGAGGAGGTGCAAGGTCTTCGACAGACGGGCCTTTCTCGCCCGCATGAGGAGGCTACTCTAGCCTGACCAAATATATAATCACAAGTGGACCCCGAAAGCCAACCTCACCTCATCAATAGACTTCTTCGAACAACATGCTTGTGGCCTGGTAGAGCAAGTCGCTTGTGTCACCCAAAAAGCTGTTGTGGAACTTAAGCCCACCTTAGAGGTCTTTGCAACAGAAAACTCGTGATTTTATTCGCACCGAAAACTCCGTACCGACGGATTGGTTGGATCGGGTCCGTCGCCGAACCTCGACAAACACCGCTGAAACGGCATTGGCCAAAGTGCTTCAGCCTAAGCGGACAGAACTCGTCTCACGGTCTTTTCCTGCCTTCAACTCGTGAAGTAGCGAGCAGAGGAAAGAACTGCGAGCACGCAGTTCATGGGGTAGGAGGGAGCTTTCAACAGAGCGGTGGCCAATTTTTTTGGGCCTTTTCCGAGAGCTGAGATACACTCCCTGAAGTGATCATGGTTGCGTGATGAATGGCATTGGAGCTGCTGAGATCAGATGCCATCCGTGGGTGGGAAGATTTCTGCTTCGACGCTGTTCCCAGTTGCCTGGGCCTTGGTGTTCGGGTCCTGGGTGGCCTAAAGATCCTAAGGTCGGTTGATTTTGGAGTGGCTGATGGGTGGTTTGGTCAGGTTACCCAAAAACCTGTGGTAAGGGCTTTGATTGCTTTGGAAAGCCTGTTGTTGAGTGTGAGAAGGATCAGGATCAACCCAACATGATGAGGATCATGAGGATACCTCATTGATACAACGAATGCCCTGGCACCCAAAGATGCAGCTGGAGCAGGCACCTCACAGGGACTCCACTCCGAAGCCAACTTTTGGAGTGGGAAGGACTGAAGGTAGAAATCCAGCACTTGAGATGGAGTTCAACTCCCCACATGTGCAGTGTTTGGCCATTGATTGTTTTGGAAGATTTCTGTGAAGGGTGGTCCTTATTTTTCTCACTTGAGGCCATGCCTGATGCTGGGAAGCAGAGGTGCCACTGTGGGTGGTGAAATGCTGGCTAGGCTAGATTTGTGGTTTGTGGAACGTGGAGAACGAGCAGAAGAGACATGACAGAAAGGAAGAATCGAACCGGAATGGGAGTGGATTTGCTGGCATTTCTTTGGCGTTTGTGAGATCAGAGGTACGTTCTCATGCTGAGATTGACCAGTCAAAATGATTGGTTTAGTTTGCACACTTTTTTGATATGATTGAAGGATTCATCCACAAGTGCTTCTCAACGCCAGGCCAGCCATGAATCGTTTGAAGAAGAGCTTCCCTCAGCTGAGGAGACTGTTTCTGCTGCAGCTTTTGCTCCCAAAACTGAAGAAACTTCAATTCCACGGTCTCAGATGATCCTTTTCAAAGCTCAGATGAACAGTCTGGACTGTCCAAGACTTGACGTCTCTCCGAACCGTGCTTCCGAACGAACTGCGGGCCCTTGGGACCGTCACGAACGGGGGGGGGGAACCCCAATCACTGGCACCGGTCGAAAAGAATGATGATGGCTATTTCTGATAAAGCTGGGAAAGGTTTGATCAACCATCATCCTTCACTCTTCCAGCGACTATGGAACCCCCAAGTGACAGTGACAGTGTGTGGGCTGGATCTCGATTGAAGATCAATCAATGCGCTTGCTTCCAGTTTGTGGATACTTTTGATGAAGTCTTTCGCGTGTTGGGTGAGCAGTTCCATGTTGTGCGTGTCCTTCTGCGCTCCTTCAGAAGCAGACTACTTTCTTGTGCTTCTATAACAAGAATGCAACATCTTCGAAGATCAACGGCATTCTAGAATGAAACTAGAAAACTCTCTCCTCTATACCCCAGCCCAAGACGCATGGAGTCGCATGCCATCCAAATGGGGTTGGCTGACGTGCACGCCACCCTGAGGCTTCAAGCGTTACGAAAGCAGTCCTTGCAGAGGTGGGGGGACTTCTCCAACCGAAGCGGTGCGCGGTTTGGGGGCGGGGACCTGGTGGCGGTGGGGACCTGCCTGTGGGAAGGAAGATCGATTGATGGCTTCCGCATGGATTGGTGGGTTCCGTTTGCGGGAGAGGGATGGCATCTCTTCCACGCAGTGCAGAAAGCCATGGTTTTGTTTCTTACCACGGTTCACCTTTTTTGACGTTGGGGGAACCTATGTTCACCAGCAGTTGTTTCTTCGGCACAGGGACCAACTCCCAACTCTCTGGTCATTGGAGGGAAGTCGTTTGGGGACGGATGACCCAATTGGAAGACCAAAAGAGCGTTTTTCCCGTGAAGGATTTGCAAACATATCCAGTGGTAGCTGGATTTGCAGACTGAAGTCTAGCAGGTTGGGCCAAACGCAAGCCCGCCGCCTGTTTGTGACGCGGATGCAGATGGACATGGAAAGCGGGGTTGACACAAGACCGTCAAGTAGTCATTGGACTTTGAACCAGAAGTAGTGAGGAGGTTCCTACTATAAGGTACTTTTCCAGTTATACGATTCGATTTGATCTCCACAGAATTGGCAGAACATCGCAGAATTGAACAGATGATTTGTTCAGGATCTAATCATCTGAACACCCAGAATCCAGGACTCCCTCATCGCTTCTCTTAAAACTTGGGTTATTTTTAGGTGGTTCGTCGTTGGGAAAAGGAGCCACCACTCCTTTCCTTCGAACAGGAATCTCTTCCCCAGAGTAAAGCCCAGAATCAAGTGAATCCATGAAATCATTTGATATCCTTCAATGAGTGATGGTGCTGAGGTGGAACGCAGTGGAGGCTCTGCTGCAAAGGCTGCTGGAAGGAGTGCACGAAGGAGGTCATTTTTCTTGCGTAAGGCCTGGTGCTAGTGTAATGGTTAGTGGTGCGTTCGCCAGGTTCATGGAGGCGGTCTTTCACACATGTTTCACATTCCTCATGTTCCTCACGTTCCTCACCTCCACTGCCCCCGGACCTCTGCCGGACACCTGGGCACCGTTGAGGAGACGCTTGGCACCGGTTCCGAGCAATGAAGATTGGGCGCGGCTGAAGAATGAGGAAGGCCTTCTGAACGATTCTTTGCTGGACTGCAGCGGGGGTGAGATGGAAGATGGGAGGAGATGGCAGGGGGCAAGGAATTATTGGTGTGATGAGATTTTACTAGAGCTATTTGATCCCAGTTCAGTACCCTTCGTTCACCCTAAACACGAACTTCTCGTTCCTTCTCGTCTACATCGGGTCGCTGCAGAGCGGATCGCCACACAGAAAAGAGGACTTCCACCTGGATCGGATGGTGGTGCTCTCAAGCTGTGCAGGCGGAGCATGGCGGAGCGTTTTCTGGGCCACACGTCCACGCGTGGCGGGCCACGCGTGATTGATGTGATGTGCTCCTGTCACCCTGTGAGCACCGACCAGGGACGCGTATGGGATTCAGAATGACACTGAATCGAATAGATCTATAAACCAAGCAAAGTTCAATTGAAGCCGTTATGCCGTTATACCTCAACTTAGAGCCTGAGATCTGGACACACCTTCATTAGGATCCCCTGAAACATTCCATAGCATGTTTGGAAGATCATGACACTCATGAAGCTAGCTATTAGGGGAAGCTCATAGATTCAGGTTGCCCACACAAAGAGTTTCGCCGATCCTCCCAAATTGACTTATCCATTCACTTTGCATGCTCTTTAACCATTGGCTGCTCAGTCATCCTACTTCTGTCCAAGCTCGGCCTGGCAGCTCCGCCACGGCACCGTCCCCGCGACCGCTCGCCAGATCGGGTGCACAGCTTCAGTAGCCTCTTCTACACTCGGCTCAGCGAAGGAGGATGGCCGCAGGCGGTGGCACGCCGGTCTTTTTTGCGGTTTTTCAAGATGGTCGGACCTCGTGTAGGTCGAAGGGAACACTGTCGGATGGTCGGAGGTGTCAACTCGACTTGTTCTTTTTGGCAAGCTATGCTGCAAGTGATGGGCTGTTGGGAAAAAGTATGGTGGAAAAATGGGCTGTTTGGAAGGGCAAAAAGGGCGTGTTTGGTAGGGTTGCTTCAGAGTTGGTGACCCGAAGCGAAAGGAACAGCTGCTGTACAGCTGTCTTGCCTGTGCTTGCCAGGTGAAAACCTGGACCAAGAGTTTAAGGCTTGGTGGGTGATTTCAGAAGTTCTCCTGACTGCGAGACTGGTAATGAGGGTGATTTCTGCAATATTTTTGTAGATACCTTAGGATCCCACGAACCACAAAAAACCTGACTTGATGACTCGCACCGGTCAGCTGATTGTCAACCGAGAGATGCAACAGCGGCGTGACAACACAGCTCTCCGCGGCGTGTAATTCAGTGGACTTCCACCAGTAGCATAGGCACAGGCAGGTTTGAATCCATGCTAAATCTGTGCCGGTTGGAGAATAGCAACCTGTAGATTTAGAAGAAATATGAAGACATCTTTAGTGAAGGCAGTTTCTAAGTTTGACGTGTTTCTGAGAGATGGGGATTTTGTTGAGAGGGCTAAGGTGTCTTTAAGCGTGTGTTTTGCTTAAGGCCATACAGTTCTCGAGGCTGCAGTAAGATTGGTAAAATGATAAAATGGCAACTTTGGTCAGTTTTTGCCTTGTGAAGCATCATGGGGCAACTGTAAATTGGTAAAACCATTCTCCTGCCAAATATACCTATTTCTACAACGTTTTACAGCGCGCCTTTGTCATATCTCGTCATCCAAATTTGCAAATTTATGATCTTTACTGTGCACAGGAATGCTTTTCTGTGACCGTGAAGCAAGTGGAGCTCCACTTTAGTCACTTAGTCTCGTCTAGTCTTCTCCACCCTTCCCTACCCTTCTCTAGCCTCCTCTCCTCTCCTCTCCTCTCCTCTCCTCTCCTCTCCTCTCCTCTCCTCTCCTCTCCTCTCCTCTCCTCCCCTCGCCTCGCCTCGCCTCGCCTCGCCTCGCCTCGCCTCGCC